GCCTGACTTGTGACTCAATGAACCTGACCCATCACAGCCCATGTCGGACGAGTCTTGATACAAGATCATTTCTTTTTTTTAAGATTTATTTATTTGTTTGAAAGAATTTCAGGGAGAGACAGAGAAAGAAGAGAAATCTCCCATTTGCTGATTCACCCCCCAAATGGTTGCAACAACCAGGGCTGGGCCAGGCCAAAGCCAGGACCCAGGAGCTTCATCCAGGTCTCCCACGTGGGTGCCGGGGCCCAAACAGTGGGGCCATCTTCTGCAGCTTTCCCAGGCACGTTAGCCAGGAGCTGGATTGGAAGTAGAGCAGCTGGGACTCAAACCGGTGGCCGTGTGGGATGCTGGTGCTGCGGACAGTAGGTTAACACAGCACTGGCCCCATGCGTGATCATTTCCTACGGCGAGTCAGAAGCTCCGTCTCCACCGGGGCCCAGTGTCCTGGGGCTGATTTTCAGCTTTGTATGGTTCTTCACTGCAGATGGCACGATCTTGCTCCAGAACCCTAGAGGTCTACACTGCGATTCCCCTGCTGGTTCACTTTCTGCATGTTCACAACAGCCAGCACTGGGCCGGGCCAAAGCCGGGAGCCGGGGACTTCCCACACGGAGGGCAGGAACCCAGTCACTTGCGCCAGTCCTGCTGCCTTTCAGGGTCTGTGTTGGCAGCTCATTCCCAGAGCTGGAAATCAACACGTGGTTTCTCTACACCGCAGCCGCTGCAGAGCCAAGGAGGCCAGCGCCGTGTAGCCCCAGAGGCGGGCCCACTGCTCTGCTCCTTGGCTGGCTTGCAGAGCTGTTTCTGCTCTGGGCCCCTCACAGAGCTGTCCCCCTCTGGTGTCGCCTGATCAATGGTCTCAGCATTTTCCCAAGCATGGAACATGCTGCAGGGGCCCACGGGTGTGCTGCCTTCCCGGTGAGGAGAGGCACCAGAAGTAATAAACAGACTGCTTGGGAGGGGCTGTCCCAGCGTCCCCCAGAAACCTCACTGAGGTGGTTGGATCCTCCCGTTGCAGAGGGCTTATTTGTTTTTTAAAGATTTATTTATTTATTTATTTTTTGAAAGCCGGCAACAGAGAGAGATTTTCCATCTGCTGGTTCACTCTCCAAATGGCCACATGGTGGGGGCTGGGCGGGATCCAGGAGCCTGGAACTCCATCCCCATCTCCGGTGTGGGTGTCAGGGTCGCAGGCGATTAGCAGGGAGCTGGTTTGATAGTGGAGCTGCCGGGGCTCCAGCCAGCACTCCTGTATGGGATGCCTGCATTGCAGACAGTGGTCTAAGCCGCTGTGTTATGGCGCTGCCCCACTTCACGGGGTTTCTCATAGCCGTCTCCCACCTGGGAATAGCGAGGCCTCCACCGCACTCGCCCCTTATGGCCCACAGGGGACAGTAACAGGGCTTCATTGGTAGAGTGGACCAGCATGACGCTGTGCAGAACGTTCCCCCGCTTCCTTTGAATGTCTTCTGGCAAAGGATGGGAGAGTTAACAGCCGTGACATAAGACATGCCGTGCCTGCTCCGTGTGGTGGAGCTGCTTCCCGTCCCCCCTCCTAATGGGGATGGGGAAGAACACACCCAGGTCTGTGGCCCCGTGGGAATGCTGTGGCTCTAGGTCTGCTCTAGCAGGTTCACAGGGCAGCTGGAGCTCGAGAGCCTGCTGTAGGCTGCCAGGATCCATCTGGTGGATCCCAAGCTCCTGGGTTGAGCAGACTGTCGCAGGCATTTGGGGAGTGATCCAGCAGTTGGCAGACGTCTCTGTCTGTATCTTTTTTTTCTTTGGTGCTTTGCCCTTCAAATATATAAAAATACCTAAAACAAGTTTATGGAGAAATGGAATTTAAAGAAACCTATTTTAGTGCAAAATTTTTGAAATTCATTTATAGTTTTTTAGATTTTCATGAACTTTCTGAAGACCGTGTGTGTGTGTGTGTGTGTGTGTGTGTGTGTAGAAGAGTGGGAGGGAGACTTAGGAATTGGCTGACTTCGTTTGGTTTCAATGATGTGAGAGCTGATGCAGCAGTCCTGGGTGGGAGAACTATCTAGAGGCAGACTCCTGGGAGCCGTGGTCTTTCCTCTTTAAGGGCTTGGATGGACGCCACACTACAGAAGGGAACAGCTCTACTCAGAGTCTACTGATCTGAGTGTTATTATAGCTAAGAAACTACCTTCACTGCAGTTTGACCAAGCAGCTGAGCACTGTGGCCAAGCCAAGTGGACACGTGAGCTGAGCCACCACGCAGTCCACCAGTGGTCCATCCCTGCCATCCCCTCTGGGGTGTGCGTTCATTTTTCCTTCCTCTGTTGGCTAGGGTGAGAGAGTGGCCTCCTCAGAGGGCTGCACGTGTTGGGGCGCACTGACCGCTCTCTGATGGCATCTGGGAGTCTGCCGTCCAAAGTGCTCCTGGTACCAGCTGTATAAGACCAGGACTGGGCATATCTGAAACAGGCCTCCCCTGGCCCAGTGGTAGTAGCTCTGAGGAGCCAGATGGCCCTGCTGGGCCAAGAGGCGGGGCCTCCGCACTCCTGCATTTTCCAGTTGTTGGATGCAGGACGTTTGTGGGGAGCACTCAGAGAGAGGAAGTCATTGAGCTGTCCCAGCAGCGTGGAGGGTGAGTACCTCGGTCCTGAAGCCCAGATGTGGGCTTTGCTGGCGTGTGGTTCACACACTGTAAAACTGAACATTAACACCAGTCCACAAAGAGACCTAGTGCCTCTGAGCACTCCTCCGGGCTCTGCACTGCCCCAGGCCACCGCTGTTCCACTGCTGGCTCCATGGGTTTGCCCACTCTGGACACTTCATGTGAATGCAGTCCTATCATCTGGGTTCTTCTCCAGATCTGCTTTAAAATGCAGTGTGAGAGCAGATCCAGCTGCCACTTGCAACGCCAGCCTCCTGTGTATGGGAGGGTCCCAGCTGCTCAGCTTCCAGTCCAGCTCCCGGTGATGAGCCTGGGGAGGCGGTGGATAGTGGCCCAGGTGCTTGGGTTCCTGCCACCCATGTGGAAAACCCACGTGGAGCCCCTGGCTCCCGGCTTCGGCCTGGCCCAGCCCTGACTGTTGTAGCCATTTGGGAAGTGAACCAGCAAATAGAAGATCTCCCTGCCTCTCTGATACTCTTTCAAATAAATCAGTCAGTAACATTTTAAAATGCCATTTGACTTTCATGATTTAACTGAGTTCTTTTGGCTTGTATGCTTTAATGAGAATAAAAGAAGGAAAACCAGACAGAACTTAGTGATTTGTTTGAATATGTCACCTAATATTTTGTTTTTAAATACATGCTGTCAAGTAAAAATTCCCAGTGCATTTTTTGTGTTGTCAAGAGAAAGCAGTGGCGAAGACTCCTAATTCCTCACGTTGCTCAAGGCATTTTTGGCATCTTTGAAATTCCTGAACGTCTCGTAGGTAAAGCATAACTGAAATACAGAATCTTGTTGGCCAGTCTCGATACGTGGCCCTGAAACCAGTCCTTGAGTGTCATTTCTAGGATATTTTATAGGAATACCCACATCATTTGTCATTTATGTAGCCAAAGCCAGGAACCGAAATAGCTGATGCTTACGTAAAATCACTCTACCTCTACTGGAGTCACTAAGTATCAGCATTTTATGCTTTGCATAGACTTTTCTAGACAAAACCCAGGCATTGGATTCTTTAATAAGTATTTGTTGAATGAAAAAGAATCACATGAGTAAACGCTAATTATTAAGAAAATTGGTAGTATGTTGACAGTCTGAAGCGTAATACATTAATTTCTCTAATTTTTTCTTTTGTCTTAGTTGAAGCTAAAATTTAAACATTTGTTAAAAAAATCTAAGACAGATTCTTGGAAAATAATATGATGGTGTTTCAAGGGAAGTGCTACTGCTTCTACACTTGGCAGGCAGTCTGTGTTTATAGAATTTTTAAAAACTTTAATTCCGTGAAACAAAGTACGTTCGACTGGGCGTTAAGGAAGCTGGTCTGGCCTCAGCTCTGTGAGTGAGGGAACTCTCCCGTGTTTCACCCCTCAGCTGCCTGCGATAGCCAGGACTGGGCTAGGCTGAACCCGGGACCAAAGAACCCAGTCCGGGTCTTCCGTGTGGGTGGCAGGGACCGTCACTTGAGCCTTTACCTGCTACCTCGCAGGGGCTGGAGCCAGGTATTGAACCAGGTACTCTGAAAGGCGACACGGGATCTTTTTATTTATTTATTTTTAAATGTTTTGAGTCGATTCTAAGTGTGTGTGTGTGTGTGTGTGTGTGTGTGTTTAAAATTTATATATTTATTTGAAAGGCAGAGTTATGGAGAGGCAGAGAGAGAGAGGTCTTCCATCAGCTGGTTCACTCCCCAAATGGGCCAATCTGAAGCCAAGAGCTTCTTCTGGCTCCCCATGCTGGTGCAGGAGCCCAAGGACTTGGCCATCTTCCACTGCCTTCCCAGGCCATAGATGAGAGCTGGATTGGAAGTGGAGGAGCCAGGACTCGAACCAGCACCCATTTGGGAAGCTGGCACTGTAGGCAGCAGCTCTACCTGCTACACCACCACGCCAGCCCCGGTACATAGGATCGTAATCGCTAGACTGAACACCCATGTGGCTGACTTTTGATTCATTGCCTTCTAGGTAAAGTCTGATGCTCGGTTTTACATAGGTTTCATTTCTGTATTTTCAGCAACAGTGTATTTTAGAATACAGTGGAAACTTTGAAATCCACCCATGCAAGGGGCCTCCAGAACATTGATGGAAGTATGTAGGGAGGGAAAGCCACGCAAGGATTTCAAAGTTTTCTTGCACCAAATTAGCTCATCTTTTAGTCCCATGTGTCCTCAGGCCTTCCCAGGTCTGCTACGCTCGGTTTCAGAAAGGATGGAGTCTCCTTAGCCTCGTGCGTCCTCCCGGGTGTGGGTGCTCATATGTTTGTGTGATCTTGAATAGAATCCGTGTGTCTCTGCATATTTACAGCATTGAAAGCACCGCCAAAGATAGCACCTTCTTTTTTATTCTTTCCTCCTCAGATAGATAAAAGCCCCGAAGGACAGTTCACCCAGCTCATGGCATTGCCCAAGACCTTACAGCAGCAGATAAATCGTATCATGGACCCGCCTGGCAAAAACAGGGACGTGGAAGAAACGCTGCTGCAAGTCGCCCACGACCCCGACTGCGGCGACGTCGTTCGGCTGGGTACGTGTAGAGCTCGATGCCGACTGCGGTCGGAGCAGACTTCGCTCCTGGCTGCCATGGTCTGTTTCCTTGTTGCCCCTGGGAGGAGTAGCACTAACAGTCTGGGGTCGTCCCACATCTGAATGTCCCCTTGTTGGAAGTAAGATGGGGGGAGCACTTCTGTTCCCAGATGCCTAGACCCCAAGTTCCTGTCACAGGGGGAAACAGTGTCCTCTGCTCCCGAGGGCATGACTCCCGGGAGTTAGGGAGGCCCGGCGTGAGACACACTGTTGGGTTAGTGGCTGTCCTTTTCAGTGTCATCCTGGTTAACAGTGTGATCTCTGCCGTGTGTCTGTGGAGGTGACAGGTGTACCCGAATGCTCCTCGCGGGGCACCCTGTGTGCTGGGGCATTCATAGAGTTCACAGGAAAATGAATGAAAAGAGACGTGTATGGGGCCAGCGCTGTGACGTCGTAGACTAAGCCTCTGCCTGCAGTGCCAGAATCCCACATGGGCACCAGTTCATGTCCCAGCTGCTCTTCGTCTGATCCAGTTCTCTGCTGATAGCCTGGGAAGGCAGTGGAAGGTGGCCCAGGTGCTTGGGCCCCTGCACCAGCATGGGAGACCAAAGGAAGCTCCTTTCTCCTGGCTTCAGACCGGCCCAGCTCCCACTGTTGCGGCCATTTGGGGAATGAAGCAGTGGATGGAAGGCCTTTCTCTCTGTCTCTCCCTCTCTCTGTTTGTAACTCTACCTTTCAAATAAAAAAAGGAAGAAGATTATTTAGATCTGAAAAATTTGGCAATCCATAGCACATGAACTGTCTTCAGAAAGTTTGTGCAAGACACATATTATGAAAAAAGTATGCATTGATTTCTGAAAGTTTTTGCACAAAACGAAATTTTTCACTCAAAGTTTCATTCCAAGTTTCCTCAGAACTTTCGGGTGCACCCTCATCTGTGGTTTCAGAATGGAAGTTTTTCTCCTAGATTAAAACATTTGGGCCGGCGCCGCGGCTCACTAGGCTAATCCTCCGCCTAGCGGCGCCAGCACACCGGGTTCTAGTCCCAGTCGGGGCGCCGGATTCTGTCTTGGTTGCCCCTCTTCCAGGCCAGCCCTCTGCTGTGGCCGGGGAGTGCAGTGGAGGATGGCCCAGGTGCTTGGGCCCTGCACCCCATGGGAGACCAGGAGAAGCACCTGGCTCCTGGCTCCTGCCATCGGATCAGCGCGGTGCGCCGGCCGCAGTGCGCCGGTCGTGGCGGCCATTGGAGGGTGAACCAACGGCAAAGGAAGACCTTTCTCTCTGTCTCTCTCTCTCACTGTCCACTCTGCCTGTCAAAAAAAAAAAAAAAAAAATTTGTTTTCACCTTTCGGATTGGAGAACCCGAAGCCGGAAGCACATCTGATGTCCTAACGTGGCCTACGAGGTTGCTGAAGCCGGGCCATGCCTGGGCCCAGCGCCGTCCAGTCGTCTGGCTGTGCTCACGGCTGGCCAGCCACACAGCCTGCTGGCCCTCGGTCCTAACTCCCCATTCATGCCACTCTGCGACCCTGGGCCGGAGGTCAGGTTGCTGGTTGTGTTAGTTCCCCGTGTCCGTGCTGCTGCAGTGACTGACGCCTGTGTGTGGGTTCTTCCTCTCAGGCCTCTCAGCCATCGTGAGAGCTTCCAGTGTAAGACAGAGCGCCAAAGGCATCTTCACTGCCGGTAAGATCCCTGGGGACCGTGGGCTTCCTGTAACAGTGGGGCTGGGGGGTGTTGGGGCTCTGGATTAAAACGCAAAGCTCTGCCCTCATCTTTAGGCACTGGTGAAACACTGGACTGTGAGGGGCACACGCGAGGATGTTGGCAGTGCCACCCAGACAGGCCTCCCAGCAGTGCACCCTTGTCGTCTAGGAAGGTCAGACCCTGCAAGACGCTGCAGGAACTCGGCTTCTGTCTGGCTTCTGTCCTGGCACAGTTTTCTGCTGGTTTACCTGAGTCCATGCTCAGAGCTTGGCACGGTGATGGGCACATCATAGGCTGCTCCTCCCTGGTGGGGGCCGTGCCCCGCCTCCCGGGCCTGCCGCTTTCTCCATGCCAATCATTTCAGTGGAACACGTCCAGTGACTTCCTGAGAACGGGTGCCTAGGAAGGAAATTGAGATACCATGTACGTCGGAAATTCTCTTTGGTCTGCCCTCGCGTGTACTTGATACTCAGGCTGGGCATCCGTGAGAAATCATTTCCCTTACAATTCTGAAGTCATTGCTGCAACTGTCTCCTCCCTTCCGGGAGCGCGGCTGAGGTTCAAAGTCATCCTGCCTCTGAGTCCTTGTGTGTGTTCCCTCTGGCCCGCTCGTTGGGTCCTGCGCTTCCCCAGGACTCTGAAATCTTGGTGGTGTGCGTCTGTTCTTACCTGAGTTAGCCTTCCAGCTTGGAAACTCAAGAAGCTAAGTAGGGGCTGGGCACTGTGGCACCGCAGGCTAAGCTGCCGCGGGGGGTGGCCGCGTCCCGTCTCACGGCACCTGGGATGGAGTTTCACTGGTGCTTCCAGTCCAGCTTCCTGCTACTGCTCCTGGGAGGCAGCCACCCACATGGAGACCCAGATGGAGTTCCCGGCTCCTGGCTCTGGACTACAGACAGGTGTTTGGGGACTGAAGCAGCAGAGGGCAGATGATCTCTCTCTCTCTCCCTCTTTGTCACTCTGCCTTTCAAATACACATATAAGGAAAACTTTAAAAATAATAGGAGTAAACTTTCTCCCATTCTCATTTGTCTCCTGGTTTCTGTCTCTCTTCTTGTGCTCTGCTTCTGGTGAGAAATTTCTCAACTTCAGCTTCCAGCCCTTCTGCTGGTTTTAATTTCTGGCGCTCTTTGTCGTTGTTCCCCGAATGCTCCTCTTTGTTTAAGCATCCTGCTCTTGTTCCGTGGACAGTCCCCTCGGGGTTGCCAGTGGAGGAGAACTCTGCGTTCTCCCCAGTCTCCCCAGCTCTTGGTGTCGCCCTGATTGCCTTTTCCTTCTTCACGCAGCCGGCGTCCACGGAGCCCCTCTCAAGTGCCAAGCCACTCAGGATACACAAGGGGGCTCATTGCCGTCCTGCCTTGCTGGCGCTCAAAATCGCGCTAGCAGAAATTTGCTATTTAAGCTGGACAGATGGCACCAAGGATGCCCGAAAAGGAACGTGCAGTTCCAGAGCGAATCTGCACCCGCGGTTTGCCCGCGCCGGAGCTTGGTGTGGTCGCCCTTCTGTGTGCCCCGCACGGCTTGGATGCCCATCCGAGCATCTGGCTCCCAGGACACAGTGTTGTCCTCATACATCGTAGGAACGATTCAGTAGAGATTCAGGGGGACTCGTGCCAGAGCTGCTGAACTGAAGACTGTCCTGCTGCGCAGGCTGCATAGCTGTGCATTTCCAGTTAAGAGACTCATTTCATCTGTGCTCCTGCTGGTTCTCCTGGCCAGACTGAAGGTGAAGTACGTGCCTTTGAGTGCTTGGGTGAGTCCAGCTGTGGTTAATCCGTGGTTTTGCACAAGTGCCGCTCCCTTGCCACAGCCTCCGAGGGTGAGGCTTGGTGATCTGATTGTTCCTGCGCTATAAGGGATTGTTAAGAGTTATCGTGAGTTGGTTCTTTGAGTTGTGTTGATGGTCTTTGTTCATATGAGGATGTCTTAGATGATTCTGCCTGGTTCTCGATGTTTAAATTTTTCCTCTTAAGGTTTTTTTTTGACAGGCAGAGTGGACAGTGAGAGAGAGAGAGAGAGAGAAAGGTCTTCCTTTGCCGTTGGTTCACCCTCCAATGGCCGCTGTGGCCAGCGCGCCACGCTGATCCGAAGCCAGGAGCCAGGTGCTTCCTCCCATGGGGTGCAGGGCCCAAGCACTTGGGCCATCCTCCACTGCCTTCCGGGGCCACAGCAGAGAGCTGGACTGGAAAAGGGGCAACTGGGACAGAATCCGATGCCCCGACCGGGACTAGAACCCGGTGTGCCAGCGCTGCAGGTGGAGGATTAGCCTAGTGAGCCGCGGCGCCGGCCTCTCTTAAGATTTTTTTTTTTTTTTAAATCCATCATCTTCATCTCCTCACACCTCCAAGCTGAAGTCGGCCTTGTTTTCTTAGCACGCATTCTTTCTGTTCGCCAGCAGGGGGCAGTGAATCACACAAGCGGCCCCCTGGTGTCTGGGACTGCCTGTGCTCCCTCCCCTCCACTTGGGCGGTGGAAGCGCAGAGCAATGTGGCCACGCCTCCCTTGGGCAGCCTTGCACTCACAAAGATCCCACCTTCATGCACCCTTTATGCTGACACTCAGTTAAATTCAGGGACGTGGCAGGAGCTAAGCTCAGGGTCCCAGAGGGTGGACCCTACGTTCTAGTCATTGGTTGTCCCTCTGTTACCTTACCGTGTTAACTGGCCTCTTTTCCCTGCCGCAGAGGGGATACTAATACCCAACCCCCAAGGTATTCCGCGGCTTACCCAGGCGTCCAGTGTGTTGGTACCTTGTCCCTGATGGGTGTTTTGTACACGTGGACGAGGCTGTCGGTCTCTAGGAAACCTGGAAGCCAGGCCTCCCTGTGCAGCTCGGAGGGCTGCCCTTCCTGGTGGCCAGTGTGTTCTGCGGCCTGACCCTGGGGGCCAGTGTGTTCTGCGGCCTGACCCTGGTGGCCAGTGTGTTCTGCGGCCTGACCCTGGGGGCCAGTGTGTTCTGCGGCCTGACCCTGGGGGCCAGTGTGTTCTGCGGCCTGACCCTGGGGGCCAGTGTGTTCTGCGGCCTGACCCTGGTGGCCAGTGTGTTCTGCGGCCTGACCCTGGGGGCCAGTGTGTTCTGCGGCCTGACCCTGGGGGCCAGTGTGTTCTGCGGCCTGACTCTGGGGGCCAGTGTGTTCTGCGGCCTGACCCTCAGTCTGTAGCAGTAGCCCTGGAGTGCCCTGACTCAGGTGCACCTGTCGTGGGCCGATGTGGGTACCGAAAGGCCGCTTGCAAAGCCGAGTGCTGTTTTTCTTTTCCTCTTCCCAGGGAGTTTCTTATTTAGAAAATCGTGTTGACATCTCCGGCTGTGCTATTCGTATGACAGCGTAATCCCCATCTGGGCACCCGGGCAGACCCAGGGTCACAGGGCCCAGGAAAGTCACCTCCCGTTCCGGCCCACGCCTCCTGTGGTGGCAGCGGCGGATGGTGTCCCGTCTCAAACCAGCGCCGAGTGGCCAGCTGGGCGAGTTGTCCTGTTCTGAGCAGCCAGCCTGTGTGCGGGGTCTCGCCTGACTGGAGAGAAGGGGTGGCGGCTCTCTGGGCTCTGATGTGGCAGCAGGGAGGTGAGAGGGGCTGAATCTGGTGATCCGACCGAGCCGTGGGCAGGAGCCAGGCGCACGGAGGGCCTTCAAGCTGCATTGAGGGACCCGGAGCTTTTCTCAAGGGCGGAGGGAAGCCTCTGATGGGTTGTGGAGGCGCATGGCAGCCAGGGAGCCGAGAGGGGCGGAGGGAGCTACGGCTGCCACCGCACGGGCAGCCAGGTCTGCCTGCCAGCAGCCCGAGCCCAGGTGGTTGTGGTGCCCACCGAGAGGAGAGACCGCAGCAGCAGTGAGGCGGCAGCGGGCAGGAGTTGGGGAAGGAAGGCATGGGGGTGAGGGAGGCCCCGAGGTGCGAGGGAGGTCCGCGGAGGGGGAGGGATTAGATGTGTGAAGTCTCGCCCTCCCCCCGCCCCGCCCACCTGACTTTCTGGTCAATCAGAAGTAATTGTGGGGGCAGAGGCCTGTTTACCTCTGGGGTTTCAAAAGATTCGCCTGAATTAAGAAGACAGGTCTAGTCTTGTTCCTTAAGAGCTGCTGGCCTGCCTCGGTTGATCCTTAGGAGCGCTTGCCTGAAACGTGGGAGGATAGGTCGGTGTTGGCCCTTCTCTGCTCTCTTGTGACTAAAGCATGTCTTCCGTCTGGGGGAACCTACACACTTAAATAAAAAGAATGCAAAGTAATATCACACAGTTTTCTGATGATATGTAACACTTACACCTGGAACGCTGTTTCCTCCCTTGAATTTATTTATTTATTTGAAAGAGTTGCAGAGAGAGGAGGAGAGAGAGATACAGAGAGAGATCTTTCATCCACTGGTCACTCCCCAAATGGCCACAATAGCTGGGGCTGGGCCAGGTGGAAGCCAGGAGCCAGGAGCTTTATCCAGGTCTCCCACGTAGGTGCAGAGGCCCAAGGACTTGGGTCACCTTCTGCTGCTTTCCCAGGTGCATCAGCACCCATATGGGATGCTGGCATCGCAGGCGGCAAGTTAACCTGTTACGCTACAACACTAGCCCCACATTCATTTATTTGAGAAGCATAGAAACAGAGCGAGAGTCTGATGGTAAGAGAAACTGCCCATCTACCGGCTTACAGTGCCAATGCCCACGGAGCTGGGGCTGGGTGAGGCTGAAGCCAGAGCTGAGAACTCCATCCAGGTCTCCCACGAGAGGCGTCACTGCTGCCTCCCGGGGGTGCATCAGCAGGCAGCCAGAGCCAGAACCTGAGCCCAGGCACTGGGTGTGGACGCGGCCCTCTAAACCAGCAGACGGAATGCCCACCCGAGCCTGCAGGTCCTTCAAGTGGCTGTACTCTGGCCCCGGAGGAGACCTGCTCTGCAGCTGTGCCCACGGCTGGAAGCTCGTTGGGAGAATGTTGGAGGCTTGCTCGCTTTCTCCCAGAGGGCTGAAGCACAGACCACGCCCTGCCTGGACACAGCGCTGCC